CAATAAGGTCTTAATTCCTGCATCGTAATTTAATGATACTGAGTCTCAACAGCTGCACAGTATTTCTGCTTAATAATTTCCAAAATTAATTTCACATTAAGCTAAAAGAAGACAAGCTGCATCAGGGGAAGCTCAGGTTGGACAGTAAGAGAAGGTTCTTCGCTGACAGGGTGGTTGCTCACTGGAACAGGTTCCCAGGGAAGCGGTCATAGCACCAAGCTTGTCAGAGTTCAGGGAGCATCTGGACAACGCTCTTAGTCATATGGTTTAGATTTAGGTAGTCCTGTGAGCAGCAAGGAGTTGGACTCAATAATTCTGATGGGTCCCTTCCAACTTGAGATATTCTATGACTAAATAATAAAACTGCAGTTATGTGGTCAAGCAGTAAATGGAATACTAACCAGATCTGCAGGACTACATGTTGATAGTCCAAGTCCCTACAAAGTTTAAAAAAAAAGCAAACAAAAAAAAACCCCACCACACAAAAACTAGAAGTTTCCTTTAACAAGCATTTAAGAGTCCTTCTGTCAGGAAGTGAAATGAGCAACATCTGACATTAACCTAATAAAACCTAAGACCACATAAAACATAATACAGAAGTCCAGTCACCTGTCCCAACAAGCACAGCTTTTCAGGTCAAACGTTTTTCTGATGAGAAAAGTTTACATATTTTGCTGGTCTGTTTAAAAGTGACTTTTCAAAAACTCAAAACAACCTTTAAATTAATGTCTTTGACTTGAAGGCTCATTGGACAAACAGAATTAAACAGTTCATGCTGTCCTGAGCAATTATTTACAGGTGGAGAAAAATAGCAGCTTTACCTTCATAAACAAATCAGCATTGCTAAAGTCTCAAGCAGAACACAGTTTATTAAATAAGCCATTAAACCTGATTCAAAGTCACTTCTTTTTAAACTTACTCTACTAACTGTTGCAGTAGGACTACTGCTTGTAAAGGAAGGATATTTTCAAAGAGCTCTACACTGAATTCTGCTTGATTACAGTAAAAAAACCCCTGTAACTGATCATTTGCAGATTTACTAGCATCTTCACTGAAGGTTTTAAGTAACTTTATGTCCACTGCGAGAGTAAGCATACCACATTACATTGCAGCAGCGCAGGCAGATTATTTACATTAATTGCTAATACGTACTGTTAGACTTTAAAAGACACAGAATCACACAAAAGCTTTTAGCCCCTCAATCTGTTCCCATGCTATCACAGCCACGTTAAACAAGCCCCAGGATAAAAATACAGCAAGTAAATAGGAGACAGCTCAGTTTGGCCTGAAAAACTGTCAGCTATCCCTCTTTCTTGCCTTCAATACCAACATTAATACAAAATAAATGCATGCTGGTAGAACATCAGTAAAATGATTGGAATTTCTACCAAAATATTTTAGAGTGTCATAACCACAAAAGTACTTAACCTCCATATACTAAGAACCATTTCGATAAACTCACTTTCACATGGATGACAAATCAAAAGAAGCTCTGCTGAATTGCAAACAGAATTTATAGGCAAACCTACAGCAATATATTTAGAGCATTGCTACCAAAGGAGATTGGTTTTAACTTGTGGCACAAGTGGGAAGTAAGTGGTTTCAGTTGTCAAAGACATTCATTTTTCTTTGTATATTTACAGCATATAGCCTCACTGTGACAGACTATTCTTTTACTGCTGATGGTTCATTCCCACATTACCCTGCTGTTGGTATCTGGTAGGCTTTGCAGCGAAAGCTTTTCAAGTTGCTCAGAAGCATTTGTAACTTCACCGCTTTCTATGTTGGTGACACAGGTTTCCCCAAATTAAAAAAAAATCCTTCTGAAAGCACACATTAAAAGCTGCACGTTTTTTAACACCTACTTCCTCATTTAACAGAGAAACATTTAGTATTGAGCAAAACAAACAGAATGTAGCTTTATATTTCTTGCAGCACATTTGACTTTATATAAACTTCCCGGACAGTCAAAGCCATACAGAAGTCTGTAACACGCAATATGGCCTTACTCAGTACAGTATCTCTTTGGAATGACGACCTTCACTTTTAACCTTTCGTAGGCACACAGGTATGGGGACAACTAGAAACAAACTTTCCTGATCTTTTTAAGTATAGCACATATTAAGGCATTTGCACTAAAAGACTAAAATAGTTACTCAAGACATTTTAAAGATTCTCCCCACAAGGAAGCAGAACTTCTAAAGATGTGTCAGCCAGACAAATGCTACTCTTTTAAGAGCTATACAGGCCACAACAAAGTGTTCTCAAAATTAATAAGAAAATGACAGGTACGCATTTGCTTCCACTTTGCAAACAAAATACTGAAGGTGTTTTCATGTTTATTAAAATTAGCATATTAAAAATGCAAAACCTGTTAATCCACAAACACTGCAATATCAGTGCTGGAACAGGGACTCCACAACACGTTAATCAGTTTGCTCAAAACATCTCCCCATCACCATTACAAGGGAGCAATTCTAAGTTGCCTGGAAAGACTTTTAAACCTTCAAGCATGCAGACAAGTTCAAGCTGCATATGAGAGATAAAGCTATAAAATAAGAATGAATAATTATCAGAGATTATATGCAAAAGCAGGAGATAATTATCAAGATCTTTTCTGAATGACTGGTACTCTGGAAAAATAATCCCATACAAGTAAGTTAATGTAATGAAAAAGAAAAGCTAATACAAGCGAAACAGGGCAAACACTAAAACGTTCTATGTCCTCCAGTGTCTGCAATAATGGACAGCTGAAACATCATAACCAAGGGAAATACCACTTGGATAAAATAGGCATGCATTCCTTATGCAACCATTTGGGCTAGTCTGCACCACACCAAGGTTCAGCTGGCTCAATATTTTTATCTCAGCACCAGTCACGCAAGATCCAGACACACTCTGCCCCAAGACACACATATTCCCAGAACTGGGGGCCTGAGCTGAGACCTGCGTCAGGTCTAAAATGTGGTAGAGCTCAGCAGGCTCTCAGCTGATGTCTTCCCAGACCAAAGCTAATGCTGGAAACAGTGAAATCAAGTTTGTGCAGCACTACTCCTGAGCTAAGAAGCACTGCTTGGTCCTGAAGGAAACGCTGCATTAAGACAAATCCTTTACCACAGTTGCAGACAAAGAGCTACTTTCTAGAATTACCCAGTTTTACTCAGCATGGCCATCCTGTTACGCTTCTCTTGGAGAGAGATGGGGGTGTGGGGGGGTGGACAGAGGACCCCTCACTGCTAGGCTAATGAGCTTTTCAATTTTCTGTACAGCGCAAGTTATGCACTCAAATTTAGTAGCAGGCATGCATTATTTACTCACATCATATAAAATCAGAATAATCCAAAGGATTAACCTAAAAAAACTACTATCAGATAATTACAATGTGGTTCAAAACTTGTCTTGGTAATACAGTGCTGAATTTGTATATTTGTAATACACCTCAAATTGTGACATACTACACACCAGTGGTTCTTTGTCCTCTAAATTGAGGGACATGCATTTTCAAACTGGGTATTTAGGAAGGAGACTCACACACGTTTTAGCGTCAGGACCTGCTATTATACAAAGCCAGGCAACACAGCTCTTGAAAGTACTGCTCACAAATAGCTGTACTATATAAGTCATCATTATATAAAAAAGACCACATAAAGTCAAACATTGTTTTCGTTATGTCATTTCCGAGATGCACATTATTGACCACTACAAGCCTTCAAAACTTTCCTGTCATTAACTTACGTTTGGCAGACTAACAGAACAAGTAGCTTAATACTCTGTGAACCCGTTATTAGCAACAGCTACACAACACAACTTCATAAAGTTATCCTCGATTGCTAATAAAATTTAGACAAATTAACTGGCATGTGAAGATTAATAAAGCATCTGTAAACATTTGGCTCATAAAAGCTTAATGCTTCCCTACTGGCTAAGATGCTGCTTCTTTCCATGTTTATTCTTGGACCCAGCTCCATCACCCTGTTCTGGGCTAAGAACCCTCTCCTGGCACAAGTTTGCTTTGCTCTGTAGCTCAAATGGTAGTAGTAAACAGAAGGGGAGGATTCAAGCTTTATCGAAGGTATATAGTAAGGTATAATCACAGGAGGACAACTGAATGCCTATTTAGTTTACAACTTTGTGGATGTCTTCCCCCATACCAAAGACGGCTACTTCATTTACAGCGTCAAGCACTGGGGAAGTGAGCTGTAAATCTGGTACCTAGTATCAACATGCATATGATTTAGCTATGTCAGGACACAGTCAGATGTCCTAAATTCTCATGTTTGCTTGTGATTGCTTTGTAACAGCGTAGCTCAACGTCCTAACTTAGCAGCTGCTAAACTGCTATTGAGTGGTCATAGCTCTTCACTGGTGATGCTTTTACCATCCTGAACCTACAGGCAACCTACAAATGGACTTTAAATGCCTGTGAATCATGATACATCTATAATTTTATTATCATATATTATTTTCAGTGAAAATTATACCTCAAACACCCACAGAATAATTCAAAGCACATTAATGGCATCTTCCAAAGCACCTGGACACTCAAATTTGCATGCTTAGCTATGTCCAACTTCTAAACTAGGTTTTTTAAAGATTCCTTTCTTCTTTCTCTCCGGGCTCTGACACATCAGATTTGAAGTTTTAGTGCTTGCACTATCACACTTCAAAGTCTTTATATAGCAAGAGGTATAGACATGTTGTTTTAGTCTCAGTGGAAAAGGCAAATAGACAATGTCTAATGTCCCACTACAGAAAAAAGGCTTGTCTTTCTTCTCCTACTGTGAAAGCAGTAATTTAATCACTTTGTGTTCCAATTTAAATACCCACGTTATCCACTGCTTCTGAGCCTTTTGTCTGGTAAGCTACAGCTAATTAAAAAAAATTCTGCATTAACTACTCCTTGCTTACAATAGATCAAAATGCTTTGTAATCTTTGGCCTAAAATATTACAGAAAACAAGGAAACATTCCACAAGCAAAGACACCTAAGGAAGTGTTTACCAGTTGGTAGTATCTTCTTGCAGTCTTAACAGAGAACTCCCTTCCTCAGATTATCGATGCAGCAGCTCGTCTTCAGAATCTGAACAAACAGAAGAATCCCATTAAACATAAACAAAACACAGTATTTCGGTTACATAAGCCAGTGCCAGGGGTAAATCAAAGTTAATCCTGCAGTGCCAAGGAACCTACATAATTCTTTAGGAATGCAAATAAAACCTGCCAATTTCAAAAACACTTGTGATTTTATGGAAGTGACATTACAAGCAAATGGAGAAGCATCCTTACAAACTCTTCTCTGAGTCAGTAAGGCAATTAGCTATCCATGATCACAAGCACCAGAAATAGAGCATTGCATCTCAGCGTTACTGAGTTAAGTTACATGGAGTTATAGCACAAAAAAAAAAAAAAAAAAAAAGAGCATTACATCGCCGCATCACTGAGCCAAGTTACACATAGCTGCAGCAGAAAAAAGTAGATCTCAGTTCAAGTTTTATTTACAGCGTCATATATATTGCACTCAGGGAAAACTGCTTCATTGCTACAGTTTTCATCAGTTAAAGACAAATTGTGCCAATGGCAGTTTTTACCTTTCTGAACTTAACTCTAGGATTACTAGGATTTCTTGCTTCAAAACGGAGTTTCTGGTTTAGAAAATTAGTATTTGTATAGTCAGACAGAACAGCATTTCCTACAGAAATGTGGCACTGATCTATTGCAAGCATTCTAAGGGTCTTAATGTTCATTTGGAGCAGGTTTATACCGCAAACAGTCTACCTTTTTTAGTACAGTAACTGGATGATGAACTGGCCAAAACTGGCGCCCTTCTGTTGTGGCGAAAGGTCCATAAGCCTTTTCCATCTAGGGTTTTGCAGGCTGCTTCTGTTTCAGGGATTTCTGCCAATCTAAATACTTGAGTGTCATCACTCTAACTTGTCTCCAGTAAAGCCACTGTTGCTCCTACTGCAGGTATTGTTCCTGGTACCAGAATCCAGCCTGTCAACATGTGACATCTCCGGGTTTCTTTTAAAGAGTGATCTTCCCATTTCACATAGCAATTCTCTTTCTGCTTCTACAGCAAAGTCAACCACATTCTGGGATGCATCTGTTTTTACCATAAACTTGTTTTAGAAATATAAAATCCCTGTCATATTAATGACCTTTGCAGATGCAGCTGAAGAGGCATGAAATACTTAGCATTAATTTGTATTTAATCAGCTATCAGCAGTTCCTTTAACATCAGATAATCCTGATTAACAAGCATTTAACAAAAAAATATGCTGCTTTGTAGTGAAATTTCTAATCACAAAGGCCATACCATTACTGATTTGTCTCAGCTTGGGAAGAAGGGTAGAGGGAAGGGAAGAGCTATGCAGTATAGAGGCTGGGGGATGATTTTAGTCACAGTGAAAACTAACATCAGAAGATACCACCCATTCCCTCCTCCCCTCTCTGCAAAAGAAAACCTTGCGATCTGAACAGTACAGCTACAAGAAGAGGAGAAGGCAAGGACTGAGTTACTATGCAAATTTTAATTGACAAATAAAATCAAGGGATCCTATCTGCAGCTACACTGAAGCAAATAGTGGCAACAGAGCTCAAAAGTGTAACTAAACAGAACAATGTTAATCAACAATAAATTTTGCCAATTTGTGTCAGGCAGCATCTAAGACATGCATGCGCCTGCCAAATTAACTTCCTCCCCCCCCAGTGTGGTTGCATGAAGCACTACTTCTCTCTCTTGCAGAAAGGGGACTCTAAAAAAACATCCAAGGCTCCTTATTCACTTTGTTAAAGCATAGGCTTTGCTTTAACAGTTGTTCCACTACCCTATTTCAGTCCCTTTTGTTCATGGTCCTCTCGACGAGCAACTACATAAAGTTAACAAGTCTGTTAAAAATTTCTGAATGGAAGCTGTAAGCTTTTATACTCACACGCTGCCTGTTAAGTCACTGCGCAGAGCGGCACTGTCACTGTCTACAGCCTGGTAACAGGATTTGAAAGTTCTCCTGGCTGAGTGACCATTTATGCAATTGCAGCATGTGCAATTTCCTTCAACACACTCAACCAAACACACTTCCTTCTACCCTGCTGCACTACAGTACGAAAAGCTTCCTATTCAGTACCAGAAAGTGGATTTTTTCCAAACATGACTGATCGTTTCATTAAACAGAAAACTTGTGTTACACTTCCACTGGATCAACTTGCTTATCATCACTCGTTGCCAAATTCAAGTGTTTAAACTTCCCCGTAACTGCCTAAAGTAACATGCAGGGTTTTGTTTTACTAAAAGCGGTATCCACGCCTGCACAGACACTCTTCTGCGCCTCCAGTCCCACACTGCTCTGTGTCAATCCCTCTCCTGGCTTCATAGAATCATAGAATCGCTTTGGTTGGAAAAGACCTTTAAGATCATTGAGTCCAACCTTTAACCTAACCCTGCCATCCCACCACTAAACCATGTCCCTAAGCACCTCATCTATCCTTCTTTTAAATACCTCCAAGGATGGGGACTCTACCACCTCCCTGGGCAGCCCATTCCAGAGCCTGACAACCCTTTCAGTGAAGAAGTTTTTCCTAATATCTAACCTAAACCTGCCCTGGCGCAGCTTCAAACCATTCCCCCTCATCCTATCATCTGTTACCAGGGAGAAGAGGCCGACCCCCACCTCCCTACAGCCTCCTTTCAGGTAGCTGTAGAGGGCGATCAGGTCTCCCCTCAGCCTCCTCTTCTCCAGACTAAACAACCCCAGTTCCCGCAGCTGCTCCTTGTATGACTTGTGCTCCAGACCCCTCACCAGCTTGGTTGCTCTCCTCTGGACATGCTCCAGCAATGCACCATCCTTCTTGTAGTGAGGGGCATCTCCCATCCTGCAGTTCCTCCCTGACAACCCATTCCCACAGACTGGCCTTCAGGTGAGACGGGGAGGCAAAGGTGCCAGCAGTTGGAATTCTGGATGGGATCAGTCAACGTGGCAGAACAGCAGCAGGTACAGCGGACTGCACCTACATCCACGCATGGAGGAACCATGTAATCTGCCAGCGCTGGGCAAACACTCTGCCTTCGCAAGATGTCTCCAGCATTCAAGGAAACAATTCCTTCTACATGACCTAGCTAATTCCTTACCCATGATCTAAATTAATCTGGTTCATTTGATAAAACCTGTCAAGAGAGCTCTTTTTCCTATTTCTTTTCTTTTTAAATAACGGATCGCCAAACTGTAGCCTACGGTATAAATAACACCTCTGAGAAAAACTAAGTAGCTGCCGTCTTAGTTTTCAGTCAGTATTTGTTGAAAAAATTAATTTTCTTTACTTCAATAGACCTTTGTGGAGTAAATTAGCACTGTTTCTTTGACAGGCTAATGAGAACAGCAAATGAACAAAAAAAGAGTAAGCTCATTCTCAGGAGATATCCTTGCTTGCCCTCCACACACTTAGTTGGCATAGCTTTGTAGAATGAGGAGTTCAAAAGAAGGAAGCAGACAATAAACCTACTTGTTCCCGGTAAGTTAGGGAGATTTCACCTATTCTTTTAAGTGACCATCCCTTACTTCATTAGTTTTGTCACTTAAGGGGAAGGTGGAATTAAACTCTGAAGTACAGCACCTGATTAAATCTTGTTCTCCACACAAAATTCATGCTCAAGAAAACTATTAACCATAAAGATGCAAAGAGTCTTCTGTGAATCTCATGGTGTTTTTCCCTGGTGTACATGTTTCAACAGGCAGAATCACAGCCACTGCTTCCCAAGCCTCCAAGTTTTGCACTCATTTGAGCTAGAAGGAAGAACACCTCTGAGAAATTTATTAATGGCTACGTTCTCAGAAGAGAATGGTAAAGCCAGTAACACAGGGGTTAATAGGTTTTACTGAGAGATTCAGCATATGGCATGCAAGACAATTTGCTGAAATGCTGGCAAAACTAGTTATTGCCAGATATAGCAGTGTCTAGGTAGGGCCTTAAAGTGATCTGAGTCTTCCAGCCTTTGCCACCACAGCCCAGATAAGCGCTGTGTCGGAGCTGGCTGTAAATCTTCACCAGCAGGTAGTAGGGATGACTCGGGGCTGAGATGCAGAGGGTAACAGGTCAAAGCATTTCCTCAAATTCTGCAGGAACCATCGACTGCCGACCCAATAACCCACACCCCAATTCTCTGCCTTGCTCCGGTTGGACACATGCCTCCCAGGGATACTACCGAGGTGACCATCTGGGGTGTCCTGAGATGTCGCTTCATTTCCTCTGTGGTTGGTAACTTACCCAGCATCTTCAAAGCCCAGAAAAATGTAGATTTCACCACTTAATATGCAGGTTATTTCATCTCAAAAGCTTTGTCTAAAGTACATTTAGGAGTAACTCCACCTAGCCTGTATACCCAACACTGCTGTAGAGATATGAACCACATTTAAAATCACGTTACGCACATCATCTTTGCCTGTGCTTGAGTTTGCTTAGCCCGAAACACAGCACAACAGAGACAGCAACGGGGATTTGAGGTGATGCATCCTCCCCAACACAGATCACAACAGACTGCTAGCAACAACGGCCCATCAACAGGTTAAGACATATCTGAGAAGCAAAGTCTGCAAAATGAGTTAAAAAAAAATCATAAAGACCCATAAAGATAACTAAGTGTCAAAAGGCTTAGGGGTAGCTTATCAAGAATTCTGTTGACAGATGTAAGGGAGCACACAAATTGAGCAGTCAAAATAATCCCTGAAGAGCTTCTGACAGGCTACTCTTCATAGTAAGGCAGCTATGAAAAAGAGCAGAAAGCAACATATCCAGTGTCCTATGAAAATAGGAAAACCTATAAATACTGGAATTCACAGATAACTCCATGGCAAACAAAACTTGTTTGAGAATTTTATGCCTCACTAAAATATGGACTTTTTTTTCCCCCCTTACCGACATATACTGCCAAAACTTAAATTTTCAGTTGAAAGAGGAAATTCTCCTGTGATTTGAGGAATTGATGGTCAGAGAACCATTAAAAAATCCCCAGTAGTTTACTTCTACGCAGCTGAAAAAGTAAGTTCTCATTCTTTTATTTTCAGGACAGCAATGAAACATTAAGATCAAAAT